GTAAACAGATGGTAAAGTACAATGACTGTCTCTCGTCCCCTAGGCCAATCACCAGTGGAGTCATCCAGGGATGCGTATTAGGTTCACTTTTGTTTCTCATGTATATAAACGATATATGTAACACCATAGAATTTGGGAGACCATACTTATATGCTGATGATCTCAAAATAGTATACAGCTATAAGCCTGAGACACTAAGCGAAAGTGTATCCCAGATCCAAAAGGACCTCAATAACTTAACTATATGGAGTGAAAAATGGCAATTACCATTTAACCTCAACAAATGCGTGATCATGCACTTTGGGAAGCATCCCTATAAACCGCAACTTCACTTAAATGAAAGTAGAGTCCAAACACTCGAATCAGTACACGATTTAGGAATTAATTACACAGGAAGCCTGAACTTTGAAGAACATGCCTCCTCTATTATTTCTAAATCTAGACAGCTAATTGGCTTTATAGTGAAAAACTTTTTCACAACAGAGGGTAAACTTACTCTCTACAAAATATGTGTACGACCTTCCCTTGAATACTGCTCTTTTGTCTTCTCTAATATGAATATCACAGACAAGATAAGAGTAGAAGATTTTCAAAGACCTTTCACACGTCAACTACTAGGATGTAACTGGAATCGCGATTGCACAGATAGATGTAAGCGTTTATTTACGCCACAGATCACTCCTCCTCTAGTGGGATAGTGATGACGCAAAGGCGTGGCCAGCCAGAAGTTTAAACCCAACGATTTTGTCGTTGATAAATGCTCTTCTGGTAGCTTGCCATGCTTAGCAGCGTCTGTTCGTCTTTCCTTACTATAACGGACGGTATCGTACAATACTGTAACAAAGAATTACAGTACGATGAAAATTTCGTATACTCGTAAACTTCATCGTTCTTTTTATTGTATTTTCAGCCGTTCTGGAAAAGAAAAAAATATGTAAGTGCATGTTGAGATACGCTCGTACGTGCGTAAAAACACAAAGCGGGCGAAAAAAAGAAAAGAGACTCATACACACGTAATAGCATTAAAAAAGGACTTTTACAAAATGGCTTTTTTGTGTTGTTTTTGAAATAGAAATATAAATACATAAGCATATTAATATTAGTTTGTAGTATATAGTACAAAGAAAAATTGAGATGATATAAAGTGTCAACTAACATCTTACTAGCAATAATCGTTCAAATGTTCTAAAAATCTTACTCTTCTTCCAGAACGCGTCGTCTTTAGTTTGTTTTCAGATACTGTCGAAGTATCATCGAGTGTGTTGGTTGTCGGTTGAGGTATTATAAGTGTCGGAGTCGTGTCGTGCGATTATACCGAAGGAAAATCGACGTGAATAGGAATTCCTTCTAAATACGCTGCTTCGAGGTGATCGATGCTGATGCTATCGTTGGTTCCGTTCTTATCGATTATATAGTACTTAGGTTGGCGTTGAAGAACTTTGAAAGGTCATTCGTATGCTGATTCGAAAGGTCGTCGATGCGAGTTTCGGCATATGAAGACGTGTGCACTATATAGTATGTCAGGTTGAACGAAAACATCAGTTGATTGCGGTTGAGAGGAAACGGGAATGTAGTCCAGTTGTCGAGACTCACAAGGTGAGTACTTATCAGAGGAAGAGCTTAAAGAAAAGGTAAGCGGTTTATGTTCAGTGAAAAGGGTAAATTCGCGGCCTTCGGTGTAGTGTTGAAAGTGCCGTACAGCATAATACATAGCTAGGAGTTACCTACTGAATATGCTGTACCTCGATTCAGTGTCTAGCAACCGTCTAGAGAAAAATGCCAAAAGTTGCCAGGAGTTGTTAACCCATTGTTGTAAAACTCCTCCGATTGCTGAGTCGGACGCGTCTACTGCGACTCTAATGGGTGCTTTGGTGTCTTGATGAGCAAGCATTGTTACTTTGGCGATAATTTCCTTAACTGTGGAGAATGCTTTTCGTGCGGTGTTGTCCAAATAAATGAATTTCGCATTTCCACGAAGTTGGTCGTCAAGAGGTTTCATAATTAACGCGCATTTACGTATGAATAGTCTATAGAAACTTACAAGGCCGTTAAACGTTCATAGTTGCTTAATCGTGGTCGGTTCTAGTTATCCGGAACGGCCGTCACTTTGGTTTTGAGAGGTCGAATGCCTTGAGTATCGATAGTGTGTCCTAGGAACTCTAATAGTCAGTTCTGATGTGGCATTTCTGAATGTCTACAGTAATACCATGTTTTGCAGTCGAACGAAAACAGGATCCAGATGCTTGAGATGCGATTCTCTGTCCGGACTTGCTATTAGACAGTCATCAACATACGCATGTACGAAGTTGAGATCTCGAAAAACGTCGTCTTTGAATCTTTGGAATGTTTCTTAGACCGAAAGGCATTCGCAAAAATTCATAGATTCTGAAGGGAGTAATGATGGCAGTTTTCGGTGTGTCGTCTGTGGCCATGGGGATTTGGTTATACGCTCTAACCAAGTCGATTTTCGAAAAGAAAGTTGTACCTTTCAAGGTAGCTGTCAAATCGTAAATGTGGGGCAACGGGTAACAATCGGGAATGTATTTTGCATTCAATCGCCGATAGATACCAGTTGGACGCCAATCGTTGCTGTCCTTTTTAGGGACCATATGCAACGGAGATGCATATGGACTGTTTGACGGTCGTATGATTCCTAAGTCATGTGATCGAACTCGTTTTTCGCCAACCTTAGCTTTTCGGGGGCTAGTCGGCGTGCTTTAGAGAATAAAGGTGGTCCTGTAGTCGTGATGTTATGTGTGACGTTGCTGATAACACACGGTAGTTTCGGTTGCGTTTGGTGTATCCCAGGATACTTATCGAGTAGTGGTTGATAAAGTGGGTCTATCGTATGCTTAACTGTGACTGGGGATAATCTGAAACCAGAAAAAGAAGTTACGCAAACGGATAAATTAGTGTTTCCATCTACTAGCTTCCGTTTGCGCGTGTCGATGATTAAATTATGGTGTTGTAGAAGATCCATACCAATGATTGGCATAGAAACATCTGCAACAAAGAAAATCCAGCAAATGGGTTTGCGTAAACCCACGTTAAGGTAAACGTACACTTTGCCATACGTAGCGATAGGTTTTCCGTTTGCCGCCTGTAAGTTTAAAGCCGATTTGTGAAGCCGGTCGTTATAATTTTCAAGGAGAACGTTAACGTCTGCGCCAGTGTCGACGAGGTAGCGAACTCTTGTTGTCACATCTGTGACGTATAACAGACGGCTATGTCCGCCGACTACAGTTGCCGTTAACGCGTGCCGGCTTGGTAGTTTCCCGAGTTGTTTTCCGTGTCAGTGGGTTTTGATTTGGGGGAATCACAGGGTTTTCTACAGACTTTCCATACTGGTTATGATACCAGCACCAGTCGAGGTTATCCGTCTCTCGTGGTCCAGAGACAGATCGCTCACGCGAATTGCTTCTACGCGGTGTGTGTGATGGCTTATTGTAGTTACGAAAATTAGGATAACGCGTAAGTGCATGAAATAACACCGTTATGTCATTCTGGGTTGTTTGAGGCTTTTCTTTGACTGAAAAACCTCGGTATTAGAAGATTTTGTGATTTCTAAAATGCGGTCGGCAGATGCAGCTAGCTCATCTAAGGCGTTGTTGTGGAACGAGACAAGCACAGCTTGCACCTGTTGAGGAAGTTTAGACAAGAAAAGTTGTCTAAATAGGCCATCATCAAAGGTTCTTTGGTCGATAACCTCTTTCATTCGTTGCAACATGTCCGTCACAGAACGGTGTTGCAGGTCGATGTTATTGAGGAGTTGGTCTAAACGTTATCTATCGGTTAGGTCTCCGCGTTTAGAATAGAACGTTTCAGCGTTTCGTCAGGTTTAGAAACATCACTAGTAACCATGCTAGGTGTTACGTACCTGCTGAGTTCGCGCGGTAGTGCCTTGACAACTGTGAGGAATTGTGCACGTGTGTCAATCACGCCGTGCTCAGAAAAGTCGGCTTATGCATAGCAAAACCAGGCCTCGAGTTGTTTGGCCAGAAGGGAATCAGTTGAAACGAAGGTGGGGATATAGTCTTAAGCTCAGGTACTTTGGGTGTCTGTTCAGTCATGATGAAATATGAATTACGAGAATGAACGAGGGAGAAAATTATATATCGAAAAACACGAGAAAAAATATCACAATTTATAAAAAATTAAGATAAGGCAATGATATATACTATCCCAAAAAGGAACAGACTCACAGTTTGCGATTTTTTATACCAGATCACGTTAGGTTCGCCAATGAAGATGCTACAGGTATTCAAAGTTTGACAACGCTTTAACCAGTAACATCTAATATGACGCGTACCCACCAAGTGAAATCAAAAGACAGAAGCGAGGAAGTTCGAAGATATATTTGATGGACTATCAATGTATCGAGAATCGTCTGATCTAGTCTGGCTAGCGATTGCAGTAGATGTTAAGCACGGTGTTTTCACTTGTGATCTGGTGCGGATGCATGACCGAGCGCCTTCATCTGAGTGAGTTCATCAAAACATGTGGTCAGCATCCAATGTCGAAAACTTACAGAGCTATTTATTTTGGGGATTTATTTACCGCTGCACAGTAATTTGTATGTTGATCCGGACCACATCGAAGATATTTGTGGCATATGACCGAATTTAGAGTGAATTTTTTGTTATAAAGTTCATATTCTAAAATAGACTTGAAATTAAGGCATGTATTTAGGAAATGTGGAAACCCTCTTGGTATTTTTAATGTACATATGATTCGAAGTCTTGCTATAATGATAGTAAGTGTCTGGAAAGAAGTTATGCATAATCAGAGTACATTGTTCCAAGCAACGTCCTCAGAGCATTTCTGGAGAACACTTGATGTATTCTGAAACAGTCAACCTGGCAGCTCACACGCATTTAGTGAAAGAATTGTTTATTCTTGTTTTCATTGACTAATTTCTGTGCCTAGCAATGTCTGTAACGATCAGAAGTGATTTGATGCATTGAATATATTATATATTATATATTGGGCATTAAACACTTGTGGGGCGCTTTGTTTGGGTTTATTTCGAATAATTTCTTTATGATTTGTACGTTTCGCTTAAGAATACTGTCATGAGCACAGGAAGCGTGGTTATTTTTTTTAAAACGCTTTTTTCTTTAAGTTTGTCTCGTAACACCATAGTTCCCAGTCTCCCGATTTTGGAGGAAAATTTTGTATAATGCACGAATTTATTTTAGTCTTAATTGTATCCATTATTTCGAGTATGTTGTTACCTCTGCTACATTCATGCTGTTCTAGCATTGTTTGTGTCCAAAACACTTGAAAATCTCATGGAGTTATGATCTTAAGGTAATTCTGGTAAGATTTCTTTAACTAGTCTAAATGACAACAAACTGCGTCTCATTCAGTTTACTCAGGAAAGCGTGGTTTTGTTAAGCTTGCTTTGAATAGTAAAGGCGGAAGAAACCCCATCAAGGTTCGTTCAAAATCAAATCAACTTCGGGTGTAAATGTTTCATGGGACTTCGCTTTTACACCATGTCTTATTCACTGTATGATAGTATAGAAACCTTTGCTTAACTTTCTGAAACAATTTAAGCCTCTTAAAAAGGTATTCATAAGGCGTATTCCAGTTGAAATTACTTTCAAAAGTGTACCTTGGAAATCTTTATTTTGATATTTATTGTCAATAGGAAACATTACATATTTTAGGTCTATTGTTTTCAGTAATAAGGATAGTAGGTTGGTGAACCTGTATTAATCCTGACACATTGCTTTCCAGTGAAAGTCCAGCTTCTTGAAAGTATTCACTGATGGGGCTGATACCACTTGTTCCAATGATTGACTACTCGATGAGAAAAACGGGACCCCACTTTAAGTTTATTAGATCGTGGTTTATAAACCTTCTTGCTATGACCTCGGAGATTATTAGTGCTAGAGGAAGCAAAAAGATAAGACGTATTAACACCCAAATCATAATTAAAGATACGAAATGCCAGTATAAGGTCACCTTGTGTCCTACGATACAACAAGCGGAAAAGTTTTAGGCGTTTTACACGCTCATCGTAAGGGAGTCTAGAAAGGCCATCCACTGATTTCGTTCCCACACGCTGGACACGCTCAAGGGAGTTAGTATCCTTTACCGGACACGGGCCAGCTGCTTGGATACAGTACTCAAAATGTGGTCTTACATATATGGGGTATAAAAGTCGAAATGCTTCCTCGTCAAAAGATTTGAATGCTCGGCGAAGTGACCATAACTCACGAAAACCTCTGACAATGGCTGCTTTGCAATGCGTAGTTGTTTTTAAATAATGACTTTATACTACTCCTAAGTCTTTATGTTCTTGAGCACATGGGAGAGGTTTACCCTCAATAATATAACGGTAACTACTACCGTGACCGATATGCATTAGCACACTCTTCCTAGCATTGATTTCTAAGCCCCACTCTCGAGCCCATCTAACTAAATCGTCTAAGTCAGCTTGAAGATACAGATGATCAGCCGCACTTTTTATTGTTCTCCAGATTTTTACATCATCCGTAAACAATAATGTCGACGACCTAAGTAACAGCGGTAACTCATTAACGTAGAGAAGGAAGAGCAGAGGGCCTAAGAGGGTGCCTTGGGGTACACCACTTTTGACCGGCTTCCAATCAGATAGCGTTCCGTTGACTCTCACTCTCTGTCTGCGGTCACATAAGAAATTTCCTATCCACTCATGTACAGTACCTATTATTCTAAAACTCGTGAGCTTCTGCATAAGACCTACGTGTGAAACCTTGTCAAATGCTTTGCTAAAATCTATGAATATCACATCGATAGACAGACCGTTATCCTGGGCTGCTGTCCAATCCTCCCTCGCAATAAGCAAGTTAGTCAAGCATGAACGCTTGTTCCGAAATCCATGTTGCTCAGGAGCTAACAGATTGTGGCTTAGCAACCTAACCCGAATTATCTTTTCAAGTAACTTAACGACTATGCTAGTTAGACAGACAGGCCGGTAGTTAGATACCATCTGTCTCTGACCGTCCTTAAATATAGAACTGACTATAGCGTCCTTCCAATCTCTAGGGAGTTGTGCGAGTGAAAGGGACATGTTGAAGAGTGTCTCGAGCGGTTTTGAAATAATGTCCGCAAGAGATGACAACAACCGTGGATGTAACCCGTCAGGGCCCGGTGTCTTACCAAGTTTGAGGTTAGTTATCAACGGAAGGACAGATTCCTCAGTCACATGTACAGATTCAATGGTTGGTATCTCGGTGTGAGTGGGACAAGTATTTGTTACAATAAACGTAGAGTAGACTGCTAAAATAGTTTGGAAAAGTCTCAGCTTTTGCTTGATCTGATTCAGCTAGTAAATCTGAGTTTTCGTGTAACAGTAACGGGGGGATACCATCACTACGTCTTATTCACCGTTTAACATACGAAAACAATCGTATCGGACAAGTATGGCTATCATATACTAACTGTCGTTCGTAAGTGGTACGGGATTTGGCTATGGTTTTCTTATAGATATTACGGAATTTTTCGTACTCACGCTTGAATGGTGCATGACCTGTCAACAAAAATAAGTCTCAGAAATGTTTCCTACGCTTTAACAGCTTTTGGGTTTCCTTATTAATCCATGGAGGGCAATGTGATAGCTTACGTGCTGACCATGGGATAAACGGCGACGTTACGGACTCTAATGTAGCCTTAAACTTATTCCATTCATCTTCGATCAATCCATCCGCGTCGACCGACCAATCAGTCAAAATAGCACAGTTTCTGATTGCCGGAATATTGACTCGTCAGATATTGGGACGGGGTGGAGCAGATACGAATTGTATACCATGTGTGAATTACAACGTGATCACTGTTCACTAGTGGGGAAGATGCTGAATATCAAAGACATCCTCACAGTGGTGGGTGAGGGCGAGGTCCAGCAGTGACGGGTCATGATTGAAATCAATATGTGTCGGTTTTGTGATACATTGTACAAGTGCACACTGAATCATGGTAGATAAAAGGTCGCTATCGAAACCACTACTTGGAGCTGTAAGCTCTATCCAGTTGATATGTGGTGCGTTGAATTCCCCAATGATGAGACAACATTCTGCCATACTCCAAGAACAGATGTGTCTTAGGATAAAGTCGTCAGCAAGACAAAATGGACTACGGTATATTCCCCCTATAATCACTAACCCATTTCTAGATTTAATCTTACAACATGCAACCTCACATGTGCTACTGATATGAGCCTCCGATGTGGTTGATTGTATACGGAAGTGATCCCTAACGTATAATATTATACATCCCCTTTGCGACTTGAAACTCTATCACTTCTAATACAGATATAGTCTGCAATGAAAGAACAGTATGTATTTACTGTGAACCAAGTTTCTGTAACAACGATTATATCGGGACATAATTCTTCCACCATCAGGCTTAGCTCGGACGTTTTATTTCTAAGACTACGAGCGTTCGTGTAGCACACACTTAAGGTGTTTTGGCAATCAATCGTTCTACCCATACAGGCCTCGGAAGCATTGGCTTCCAAGACCTGACTACCTGAAAACCTTTAATGGTAAGGTTGTTTTCGCCATTTAATTTGCGAGTCCTCAACTCCGTAAGAGCATTCTTCCACTTGATTCGATCCTCAAGCGGCCGATCTGGTCGAATACGGATATTTGGGTCACGAGTTTTTGATGCGTTTTTCAATAACATGTCTCTTCGAAACTCCCGAACACCAGCTTCAGGATTCTTCTTGGTTGAGTCTCGCCTCCAACCCATTTACCGAGTCGTATCACTTTTGTAATATGTACCCCTGAAACTTCTTCAGGTAGTACATTTCTTACCACAAACTCCACTAACTGCAGGTCATGTGCATGTCTTTTAGCAGGATCGTTGTCTTTCGACTCCTCTAGATTCCAAATAATTAAACTAGGGAGGGGTTTGGCTTCTTTTGAAACTGTGTTCACAGCTTTCGACCGTGACGTTAGATCCTGTATTTTAACTACTGGTATCTTATGATTAGTTTTTATTTTAACAGAGTCCTGGGAGTCGAGCGATTGACTCACAACAGTGTTAGACGAAGCTTTACTATGGGACTTTGGCGGATTGGTCTGAGAGTCCACCAAGGACTTATCAAGTAAACAGTCATTAGTTTTAGCTGTCTTTCCTACTCTTCTGCGTTTTCGCGTCATCCATTTTCCATCAGTCGAAACGTCTACATTAGAACAACTCGGGACAGTAATTGTCTTGTCTGGATCACTAGTCGCAGCTGTAGCAATATGGCCACCAACGTCTAATGAGGTGTCACTCACTGATCGTTTCGGGGGAGAACGTTTAACTGCGGGTTGCACAGGTAGATGTTTGGCTTGCGCCGTGACAGCACTTACGACACTAACGCAATCTTCGCCACCCGTACCAATGTTACCAGTACGGCCCTAATCAACCTTCTTATTAGCCAACATCAGGAGGCTAACTGCTTCCTGGATGAGTAATGTTTTGCTCGAGCAACAAAAACTGCAGAACCAATGAAAGCTGGGCTTTGAACACCTTTTATATGTAGTGGGGCTTAATCGGGTGCACATCTTATGGAACCACTTATTACACTCATCACATTGCATCCCTTCCTCCACGGGAAATAAGCAATATGGTTGTCCCCATTTATGAGCAGATCTAGCCATCTTGAAAATCAACTAGAACGGTGACAAAAACAGGATATGTAAAAGGATTCTCAAACCTTAATTAAATAAATCAAGTAAAAGTCGATGCAATAAATACACAAAAGCAAAATCGAAACACTCAATACAATATCACTTTAACTGTGGTAGATGCAATTAAAGTGTAAACAGTAGTTTTGATGCGTAATTTACTATCAAAACAGTTAATTAACTTAACAAGAAACAATACCACTGTCCTTTTAAATAAAAATTGAGCGAAATGTACTTGTGAAGTCAGCACCTTCACAAAAAGATGGGTTAGTCATTTACTTTCAAGTTGACTAAGGCAAATACGCACTATTCTAACTGGCCTATAACTTGACGTTAGTTGTCAATTGTTAACCAAAAAATTCATTTAAATGACATCAGCTTTCCAATTCTCAGTAGGCTTGAGAAAGCTATAAATAGCTTGAGACAGGTGGCAGTACCGAATTCTTATGCCTCAATTTCGATAGTCTTAAATAATAGTCTCAGCTTGTATTTTGAGCTAAATATAGCGTAAGTTTAGTGTTCAGGTGAAATTACAGAGATTTTCTAGAAAAGAATAGGAACCCTTGTATGATAATCCTATAGGAATAAGCTTAGTTAAAAATTTCTAAACGTTCTGACTTTTGTAACCAATCCTATTCAATAAATCTGTTGGAAATAAACAGCCTAAACTCCCATTAGTTATGAATACATTTTTAACTGGTCAACTGTAACACTATTATTACATCACTTATTTATTTTATTTTTATTCTTTGTTCAGACGTCATGCTCTGTAATGAAAACGAAAACTTCAATGAAATTACTTACCTCAGGAGCTGGTTTGCGTCTTTATGTGCTGAGGAAACTTATTTTTTTTTGTAATATCTCATAATGAGGGTACGGGGACCTAAATTATCACCTGATATGAATTTTACGAAAAAGAACCCCATTCCTAATGTCACAGGGAGCCATCAGATGACTTGGAAGGAGTTAGCTGAAGCTGATGATCTTGCTTCCGCTCTCACCGTTGACCCTTATCTTGGATTCACTACCCATAAAATGACTGAGTATGTTTTTGCAAGTAACATATTCTCTTTTATAGCATGAAGCTAAGGATTCCAGATAGAATTAAAAGGAAGTTTCGTGATATTATATGCAACTTTCAGAAGCATAAATGTTATGATGCTGCCTATAATCAGTTGATAGCCGATCCAAATATTGTGAAACGTCCTTGGAGTGTTGATCCTCGGTTCAAAGAGCATGTATGTGTTTCGTAGCCTTGATTTATTCATAGGTCAATCGTTATCTTTTATTGTTTGATGATCGTTCTGGCATCGAAATTCGTCCATGTTGGCGCTATGCATCGGAAAACCATATGGGTGCTGCAATTTTTGCAACAAGAGATTGGTAAACCAAAGGAATCCTCATAAATAAGTTTCTAGGGCCAAAGGATCACGTATCAGTACCTTGGTGGGATGTATTGCTGAACTTAAACATCACGAAGAAGCTGCATTTCTGAAGCATCACAAAAATGATTTTTCGGTTATGTATTCTTCTAGGAAAAATTGCTCTCAGTTGTGGTTGGGTCCCGCTGCCTACGTTAATCATGATTGTCATCCAAATTGTGAGGTAACGTTTTGCTCGATATATTAGATGCATCTCAAGTTTATATCTTCCTAGGCAACCATATTGTATTCTTACTACGTTCCAATCTTCCTGTTAGGTCCAACTTAGTAACAGACCTTCATTGTTCAAGTTTGGAGATGTCTGGATAAAAGAGCGAAAGTCATCAACCAAATGAAAAAAAACGCAGACTAACCAATACAAAAAAGAGTAGATATTATGTGATAGTTTTAAGATTGCAAGATAAAAAGGAATATGTACCATTGTGATTGTTCTTAAACAATTCTGTCGACGTTTTCTTTCATATATTACATTTTTGTTTATTAGAGTTAGATCACTGGCTGTGTTTGTCGTGTAATTAAGATAATTCAACGATAATGAGATTCGATTTCCGCTGATTAATTTTATAAAACATTTAGTTAGTCTGACTTTTCTATATAGTCGTTGCTAGTCTGCAAAAAATTGTTTGGATTGGTAAATGAGATTTTTAGATTCCATGCCAGTGCTTGTTTGTTAACACAAATATGGATAAGTCTTTCCACGACTTTTAACTCATTTTGAACCTCGGAGAAGGTATTAGAAATGATTAATAGTTTTTTTAAGTGATAAATCTCGAAGTATTTAGTTCTCTTTCAAAAGTAATGATGTTGGATACTTTTTGAGTAATATCAACTGAGCATACTTCTTTATTAAGTGTAGGCTTTTATCACCAATACTTAAAATCCCGTTGGTTTGATGAAACGAATCGTTCTTGCAAATCACTTTATCCCACAATCTTTTTTTCTGATTGGATTTAGTTCACAATTAACTGTGATGTTGACGCTCGTATGAGTTTGGAAGCAAAAACGGATATAAAATGTGGCGATGAAATTTTTATCTATTATGGTACTCACTTTTTTGATACAAATAATAGAGCTTGTGAGTGTTTTACCTGCGAGTTATTGGGGCGCGGCTATTTTAGTAAATTTACACAAGCGATTGATAGTACCACTGTTTCCAATCAAAAACTGATTCCAAATATTGTGAATGGTCAAGAAAACTATACCAGAAATATAGCATCGTATCACAATGCCCGTTACAATCCTAATGTTCGTAATCATGTTCTTCTTGATAAGATGAACTTATTACCAGGTAGGTTTGTTTCCGAATATCTGTAAAGGTGTTAGTTCTAGTAAATTATCGCTTATCATTCTTATTTGATATATTATTAACTTGCCAAGGATATCGCGAAACGACATCTCTTAATTGTTGAACATATTAACTTGTATTCTTTTAATTTTGCTTATATTCACTTCCAATGCATATACAAAATAACAAATTTATGTTTTTGTTTATTGTGTATAGTGAACAGTAATGTTTATTCCATCAGTTAGCCATAATTAATGTAGTACCTACCTAAAATGTGCATCAGTGTAAGTTACTACACCACATAAGAAAAACGAAGTTGACTAAATTAATAACAAATGAATCGAGATAACAGTATGAAACAGGAGTCATCACTTACTAAAAGCCAAGCCAGGTTTTAGAACCTGTTCCAGAATTTCATCACTCACTAAACCATCCGGACTGACAAGACTTTGAAGATAAATGAAAGTAACAAGAACACATCCAACTGCTTTAATCGCTACGACCAAACTCTGTATAGACAGAGATCAGTTATAAAACGATATTTCCATTTAGAGGGGAAGAATTTCGTTTCAAACATTCTGGCGTTGTTACTTAAGGTTTTTAAATAGTTAGTTTGCTAGTGTCTTCATTAAACAAAACTTTGTCAATCTTTACTCCTAAATGTGTAATCTCATTTATTTTAAAGTTTTTTTGCTAGCTAAAAGCTGAAAGTATATTCGATCATTGTGAGAAATAATAGATGATATATAGAACTTTATCCCTCTTAGGTGCAATAACGTCGTTATTCAAGTGTGTCAAACAGCAAAATAAATCTATAACGCCATTTGTTTCGATAAATTCTATTTTATTTACCTTTGCAGTTTGTTTATCTGTGATATCTAAACTTTTTCATGCAAGTAACTAGTGTTTATATTATATTAAATATCACTGAAGCTTCAGTTTCTCGCTCTTTTTCACAATCCTTATGACATTTTGCCGTAATTCTCGAAGACATCAAACGTAAGGATTCTACGTACGTACGTACGAAGTTCTACGTTGTTACTGACTGACTGACTCATTATATGCATGAAAGAAAACTAAGTTCATGTAAAAATACACATGATCCTCCCCACTCAGTAACTTTACTGTTCAATATTTGGATTCACTCTTTATGAATAAGGGAGTGACATTTTAGATGTCAAATTAGGTCTACAGCTTCGTTAAATGTTTAAAATGCATTTTCGTCTTAATCGTTTTCTGGGATATTTAAACAAGTTAACAGTGAGATTTAATTATTTATCTTTTGTACATACTTTGATTTTTTTTAGATAATACTCTGTCTGCATGTAATGACGCACAAAATGCTAAGCAATTATCTTTGGATTTTTTCCTAGAAAAGGGATCTTCCACTGGTTTAGCTTGTAAAGCATTACCTAATGCCTACGCCTTACGCCATACTGGATCTCGTCTAAACCGTGTTAAAGCTCGATTATTTGCTGCAAAAGTAGCTTCTATAAACAGATCCTTTGGTGTGAACAGCCAAGAAAACAGAAAGCCAAAAATCAAGTCTTCTTACAAGAAGTGCAAATTAAGAATGACAGTTTCAAATATCATTCCCTCTTTAAAAAGAAACAAGTCAAAATCAAATCCCCACGCCATTGGTAGAAAAAAACTAATGAAATCTGTCACTGCCGTAAGAAGCCGGCAAATATTGTCTGACGCTCAAGCAAAAGACAATTTTACTTCGAGAAAAAATATCGGTAACCCTTCTGATCACAGTATAGTTTGTGATGGTATATCATGGCAAGAATCAGATGGGACAAGTAGTGGATTAGGGCGGAGCGTTAACAATGACAGTAGTGGCTCCAATAGTCCATTGCCACCAGATTTGGATCGGATGTCATCGACTTCACCAAACAATTCATTCAGTGAAACGATTGTTGTTACACCTAATCTTAAATCATCTTACTATCTTGAATCAGTAGTTCAAAAGTGCACTGACAATCGGAATATGAAACGAAAACCATGTGGTATTAGTGCCGAGTCTTCTATACCAATCATCAGTCCATTACGAATTACAGGTGTGTTAAACAGAAATTTATATACATTCATATTTTCAGATGTGTTTCAAAGTATGGCAAATTGAACAAATGCGTTGCTGAATCACGTTTTTTATTGATGTAGATGACTAATCTTAGATACCTTTTAATGTTAGAAATATGTTTTAAAAAATCAGTCGAATAATGTTTTAGTCCTATAGTTTGTTAATGATGCTTTTTGGTGTCATTGTTTTGAAAATTGAGTTTCATAGAAATATTTTCCCAGTAAATCTGAGCCGAATTTATACTTTAAACCTAGAATGACCGTTAGTTACTGACTATTTATTTTCATGATTAGCTACTAACTGGTTACCTAATCCCTTACGTAAATTTCCCGAGATTTTAGGTCAAAAGCTCATTTGTTTACAAGTTAAATTTGATTCAGGTAGTTGATAATCACTAAAACAGCTTTAATAAACTTCTTAAATAACTAGTACTGAACACCATTAATAAATGTACTTTAGACAAACAGTGAAACGTAGGCGAATGTATATTCAGTTCTGGAGTGCTTATGTTAGTGGTGATTGACCAAGTATCCCATTCTCAAGGATTCTTTGTAAAAATATTTACTTGGAACACCAAATACTTTCTAGGGATGTTCATTCTTGTATGTGAATTAAAGGTTTTGTGTTTTACTCAAATTGTTTTATGATATTTAAGCTAATCCAGTAATTTTATGTTCGTAAGTATCTAACTAAGCTGTAACGTTCAGCATTTCATTGGGAATGTAGGAAAGCAAATTGTTTATAATGGTACTGGGTTTTTTTTAGAAAGAAAAACGTTTTTTGAAAGTAGTTTTCACCAATTTTACTATATTTATTTATTGAATCGAAATCTGTTCTGCAATTTCAGTTGAAAATGAACTAACAAAGAATGTGGAACCTATTTTGGGACGACTTATGCATGAAACAAAGTGTAGTAGTGATTTAAAAAACCCATTAACTACTAATTATATATTTAATCAATCTACTACTTCTGAACACTGTCGAAGACGTCTAACAAATTATGATGCTCGTTTGATAGCCGAGGCCAGTTTGCTCACTCCGGTATCCAAACAAAGGCAACGTAAACCGCCAAGTTATCCAGATTCTGTAGAGTATGTTTCATTTAAAAATACGGTGAGATCTAAAACAAGATCAATAAAGTGTGGAAATAAAGATGAACTTTTGAATGACAGGTCACAAAATAATAACGGCCATGATGTTGAAGATGCAAATGACAATTCTAAAAGTTTTTATAACAAGTACAACCCACAATTAGGGTTATCTTTTGTGGGGAATAAATATGTTGCGGCTTCAGGAACACAGTATTATGCAATGCCGGACCAATGTACGGATATTGAGTCTTTTTCTGAGGAGCTGATACCCCCATTACTAACCAGTCCTTCGAAACTTCATACAACGTCATCGTTTACTTTGTCAGATAGTTCTCATGATGTGGGTCCTCCCTCCATATATTCCACAGCTGAAGCAGATGATAGAAGTGAACTCATTTCGATTGATTCTGAACTCACTGAGCCCAATTTAGATACTGATTCCTCATGTGATTATCATATTTCTAACACACCCATAATCCCTTTCAGTCTTTATAATAAGTCCATTACAAATGACAAAAAAAGTTCTTTAATGTCAGCTGAACATATTCTTATGGATCATGATTACTCTTTGCCAGCATATGATGCTGAATGTGCTCTAGTTTCGAATCCAATGCTAAACACTAAAATAAACAACCAAGACCACCGGCAGAAATCCGAGAAAAAACCACTTCAAAACTATAGTAATAATAATGATAAAAACTTTAATTGCCCTTGTTTACCAGAAGTCGTCCGTACACCTCCACCTCCACTTCTGCAACCAGAAACTCAATCTAGTATTTTCGAATTGTATGCTCGTGATTCACCACGTAAAATTAAAAATGATTTCCTCCCAAATTCATCTCATATCCCCTCAGTTTCCTATGCTCATAATTCATGGCAGTCTCGAACTTCAGATACAAAGGACATTTGGCACCCTAATCTTTTGTTCTCTGACTCTTCACCAGATTCTCGCCGTCTAACGGTTACTCTTAAACGCATTGGACCTAAGCATTATCAAATATCTCAACCAAGTAGACTTTTTATTGATTGAAAAAGATATTTTGTCTATAATATATGACTATGCTTCTTTTTACTTTCTTGCAAATTTATAGAGATGTTTTTATTCCTTGTTTATGACCAGCATTTGCGATTTCTTACTACCTCAGATTCCTCATTTATACATATGTACTACATAAAAATCCATATTCAATCTTATTATTTTCTTTTAGCATGATAATTATTGTCAGTATGTATATAATGTTAATAAAAAGCACTCTGGCTGTTGTTAACAGTACACCTCTTTTATTCTGTGATTGCTTTTATGTAATGAGATTCTTTAAGTAACCTGAAGTCCAAATGCAATACAGTCTTATGAGCCGGAAAAGTTTAAAAAATGGCAAAGATTTTAAAATTATGACAGTGTATACTGATCCAACATCTAGATCATCTTGCTACAGACCAAGTTGCAGATTCTAGATATCGCTCTACATACTTCACTATAAGTATCCAGATAAGGTCACTAGTTCTCACACTGTCTGACACAAAGCCAAGTATATAAACACGTACTTGGTGAGTGAGTTATATTATTTAATTAATTAATAGGGAGAAAAAGTATGGGAATGTTTAATTCACATTTTGCACCCATAGTTATTACTTTTAAATACAAGGAGAGAAGTAACTGGACATGGAGACCACTCCAAGTAGTTGGTGAGATCTATTAGTCAGCAAAGATAGTTGGTGGCTAGCAGTGGAATCCAGGACGCACGTTTCGTTTGACGTCTGCTAGTATATAGTTATCCGTATCATTTAGGGAATTAATCTTCTGAGACGGCAGTCCCAAGGTAATATGATCTGATAAATAGACCGAATTATCTAGCACTAACATGCAAGAAATGAATGACAAGTTAACTTATTTTTCCTAAACCGAGATATTTTCGACTTTTGTTATACTATTTAGTTCTATATATCTTTTGGTGCTTGGTCAGTTTCCTAAACAAAGAAAGACTACACTTGAAAATTCTGTCTAATGGTCATGATATATATGTATAAAGCTTTTCTAGGCTAGCGCGTTTCATAGGACCCACATTAACCGAAGTCAACTAGTTATTATTGTTGAGTTTGTATTGCAGCACCAGCAAATAAATTCCGAATGGACACAGTACCTCAATTGGCTATAATTTGGGTTAAAACATAGTCCATCTAAGCAGTACCACATGATGAAACAAATGAGTTCTTATTTAGATAAAGAACAATGCCTTAATTGGTAATTTATTCGTTTATTTTTATTATAGAGAATATTGGAGCAGTATATATCAATTGACAGATAATTCCCATTTAAACATTAAAATTAAAACACGAAGTTCAGCGAAGGGATCTCTTTTTTCAACGAATTTATTATCAAGCTGTACAATCGCATAAATATGAAATTTTTTGTTTTTGTAAAATTATATATCAGTATGAAACGTAGTTTCACATCGAGTAAACATTAATTTGACCGCATTGGGATTAGACATAAAACTTTCCAGTGTGACATTTCATACTCCATCCTTTATATGAATTGAAGATATGTTTATTTAATGGATAATTTCTAATACTGTTGGTCTACTCGGAGCTAGCGGCAACATAAAGCTTATTTTTGGACGGTGTGTTAATCATTTTCGAAACAAAGATTTTGATGAGTTTTATTTGTTGTATTAGTTTCCAGATTATACATTGTTTTCTACAGAAATTTTGAAGTAGTGTTTACTTTATTATGTATTATCATAAAATCATGGCTAGTTATGTGGAATTAGAAACCATCAATCCATATTTATTTCTCCAAAATACTTCCTGGTAGTATCGGATAAAGCTTTATTTCGAATATCGTTTGAAAAATTTTCCAGTGAAACTTCCAATTTAACGCTTCACTTCATAACTAAAATTTCGTGTAACTTCTTCAACTACTTATTTATGGTTTATAGCAGCACTATTCTCCCGAAACAAAATTAAGATGTCTATGAAGCTAGATTCATACACTGGAAACTATTTAATTTGAAAATTATTCGGTTAGTGTAGCAATTCAGTTACATTTAGATATTGTATTATTTCCAATCAGATTATTTATTGCTGTATATTTGCGAGACGTGCTTATCTTAATGGGGAGATTCATATTTTAACGAATAAATACTAGGTTGTAATGAACTGAGGAAAATCCCTGCTATAAATGAGTTAATTACATATGTATATTCATGGAACTAAATGGGGAGTAACAGCAATAAATTGATCATGAGGTTGTGGAGATTTCTGAATTTCATTTAAATCATGAACCCATATAAGTTGGACCACCATTGAAAACCTGAGAGTATTGAACGGCCATCTCGTTCCAGTATGGAACTTATGATCAGCGCACATCAACGTCCCCGCACACACAAATTGAACCAAAAGTTCTTGCGAAGAACTGTGGCTGGTAGATCTAATCTTTGTCAGGTGTTAGGCCTACTGAAGATAGTCGCTCAGTGTCGTGAACTAATTGAGGTATAGTGTTGAAAACGTTGGATGCCGGCCCAACGGTCCATAGGTTTTGGGCTCGTGGATGCACCCTTCTGAGTTCATGAGTTCAATGAAATTCTCCACAATCTTATACTGAGAATTTTAATGGTGTATTCTACGCTTTCGGGTTTACAATATTCTGTATTATTGCACAAGATAATGAATTTATTTAAACCTCATAGATATACTAATTATTAAACTTGGTTTTATGATTTCAATTTATGTATGAGTTGCCAATTTATGTAAATGTTTGATGCATACCTAATTTACTTAGTTCAGCCCCTCTTCTGTTTTAAGAATACTCAACATGGCAGTACGCTTCTTGCAATTGTTCACAAATCATTGGTCACTGGGTAGTGACCAATATCATGTCCTTTTTTAGTGCTGACCAAATTCTCTCGATCAAGCTGCCATATGGCCACTAGATTAAGTGGCTCGGTATCTCGTGGATTATGTTGATATATAATTAAATAAATACTAATTTTAAGCATGAGAGAATATGAATAATTAATGAGATGAAATAAGTAGAATACGACCAATACACTTCTCACTAAAATCTATAGTAAGAAATGCATCAGCACTATTTTACAATACCTAATGTGAAACATACAAGTTTCGTGTTTGAAATTATCCGAATCCTAAATGAGAAGACAAGGACATAGACTGAACGCTAACTAAAATTTCTAGAATAGCGAGGTTAATTTTGATTGTAGCTAGACAGGAAAATCATTTTTTCGAAATTAGATATAAATGAAAAACAATTTTTATGAAGATAGCCGTTTATGGAGATTGTTCATGTTGGCTTCGGCTGGAGAATGATTCAAAATGAATGAGTTCTAGACGCCTGTTTCATCCCATTTCGTGACTCTTTTGTCTTATACACTTACAACCCTGTATGAACGGGACCTGCTACACTTACATTACGAAACTAACGCGATAACTTTGTGATAATATGTTAGAGTCGAATGATTCTCATTCTCCACTTCAGCCAGTTCGTGAAACTGAGTGACTTTCTTGTAGGTATAATCTGTCCCACCGCCGACGTGGTTTGCGTTGATACGGAATCTCAATGATCTTTAATCTTTCTCCCTGACGGCTTTTCGTAATTAAAACTGAATTTGAAATCCATCTTGTCACTTTTATCATTGTTTAATTTGCCTTTGATGACATGATTATTAATGCAATTTACAAGTCTAACTAAACTTTTTAATATTGGATGGTTGGAAGTTATAAATAAAAAGGAGGAAGGACCACTACCTGACATCATTTCAGAAAATTATGGACTATTGAATTGAACCATATCAGATACAAATTTTTTGGTTGAGTTTAGTGAAACAACTGTGTAATATTATTCAAAATCTTAGTTGACATGATTCAATACTGATCTTTGTATCACGGATGTATTCAATCTTCATCCCCTTTCTAAATTGTAAGTTTTATCATTATTTCATGCTCAAATTTAATTTGTTCTTTATTAACTAGCTTTTCTGTTTGGTTTTAACAACCGGTTTTGTTGTTTCAACTCTGTTACTATTAGATGTTAATATCGTCTAACTCAGCTACTGTGGTCAATAAACATCTACACTTGTCTCTACTTTGCATATGACTTTGTTACAAAGTTTTAACTGGTGTTAACTGTTCATAAGTGTTCATCAGCAAAGCGTTTCCTATTAAATAATCTAGCATTCATAATCTAACTCCAGAGTAACAGATTTTATTGGATCCACTAGGCACAGCTCTTTGGTTCTAGTTTGAAATTCATTAGCAGTACCGGCTCATGATATTACACTCCTTTCAATAAGGTATTTCAACCTATTTTAGGGATACTTTCGGATCACTGAGTTAGAATTCAGTAGTCACCATTTCCACTTTGAATTAATTCAGGATTTTATATGACGACCATCTAGTGATGTCCGGTATAATTCCTACTTTCGACATGATAAAACTCTATTGGTCTCGGCTTCTCGAAGGTTGTTAGAGCATAGCACAAAAATATCATTTGAATAAGTTCATTGTGGAAGTCTGTTCAGTCTAAAAATAGTCATGATTTGTATCAAGATATGTTAAAGTATTTTAAGAAATTTATCATCAATCATGTTCACTTTCTGCTATAGATCTCCTTTGCTTTCTTCCTAAAAATGAGAGGAACTTCTATAGCTAAAAGAATTCTTCATAGTTGTATTTTTCATAAGCCAACTGTTTCTTTCATTATTTACTACTCTCGTTCCATTATTTTTATTCACTTATTTGTTTTTGATTATACTCACCTTCCTTCATCTGTTTATTCACTCTTTCATTTTCTTATCTGTGTCGCGCATATCTATTTTGGTGCCTATTTGTGCCAATATCTATGTTCAAATAAATAATCAGTAAATCTTTTCAATGGTCTAAACGGTAATTATTTATGAGATTTAAAGTGTTTTCATAAAGTAATATATACTTACTTACTTACGCCTGTTACTCCTCGTGAAGGAGCATAGGCCGCTCACCAGCATTCTCCATCCAACCCTGTCTTGGGCAATCCTTTCTAGCTGCGTCCAGTTGTAATTCATCGTTTTCATATCTGCTTCTATTTCCCGATGCAATGTGTTCTTTGGCCTTCCTCTTTTCCGCTTCCCTTCAGGATTCCAAGTTAGCGCTTGCCTCGTGATGCAGTTTGACGATTTGCGTAATGTATGTCCTATCCATTTCCATCGTCTTTTCCTAATTTCTTCTTCAGCTGGAAGTTGGTTTGTTCTCTCCCACAGAAGGCTATTGCT